TAGTCGTAGTCGTAGTCGTAGCCGTGGTAGTAGTAGTAGTAGTAGTAGTAGTAGTAGTAGTGCTAGTAGTAGAAGAAGTATTAGTAGTACTAGTAGTAGCAGCAGTAGTAGTAGTAGTAGAAGTAGAAGTAGTAGTTGTAGTAGTTGTAGTAGTAGAAGCAGAAGAAGAAGTATGAATAGAAGTCGAAGTAGCAGTATAAGTACAAGTAGAAGTAGTAGCAAACATAGTAGTTGTAGTAGTAGTAGTAGTAGTAGCAGCAGCAGCAGTAGCAGTAGTAGTAGTAGTAGTAGTAGTAGTCGTCGTAGTCGTAGTAGTAGTAGTAGTAGTAGTAGTAGTAGTAGTAGTAGTAGTAGTAGTAGTAGTACGTAGTAGTAGTAGTCGTAGTAGTAGTAGTAGTAGTAGTAGTAGTAGTAGTAGTAGTAGTAGTAGTAGTAGTAGTGGTAGTAGTAGTAGTAGTAGTAGTAGTAGTAGTGGGAGTAGGAGTAGTAGTAGTCGTCGTCGTCGTCGTCGTCGTCGTCGTTGTCGTCGTCGTCGTCGTCGTCGTCGTCGTCGTCGTCGTCGTCGTCGTCGTACTTTTCCTAGTAGTAGTACTAGGAGGAGGAGGAGGATAAGAGGATGATAAGAGAAGGAAAAGGATGAGCAGGAATAAGATCTTGATAATCTCGATTTCTGTGTATCGGGGCACTTTGCTTTTTTGTTTCGTTCATTATTTCTTGCTCTCTTTTGTTTATGTTTTTCTTGTTTTTCTCCGCTGGACTCGGCGACACTTGCTCGCATGACAGCGCCCAATGTCGGCAAAGTCTCAAAGGCCGCAGGTGTCAGGTGGAGGGAGAGGAGGAGGGGGAGGTGGAGGACGAGGAGGATGATAATGATGATAAGGAGGAGGGGGATGATGATGACGAGGAGGACGAGAATGAGAGGGATGAAAAGGAGGCGGATGAGGAGGAGGGGAGGGAGGATGGGGGAGGATGATGATGGGGAGGACGAAGAGAATGAGGAGGAGGAGGGAGGGAGAGGATGAAGAAGGGAAATGTCGCTTGGAAGTCTGTGCCGCGACAATCTGTAGACCTCCCAGGAGCTCCAGAACCTGGCGCCGGCTGCGCGGCAGGCAGCCGCACCACAGAGGGCAACGCCTCTCCTCCCTCCGTTCCTCCCTCTCTCCTCCTCCTCCTCCTCCTCCTCCTCCTCCTCCTCCTCCTTTTACCTTTGTCTCCCCCACCCCCTCCGTTCGCCTCCCCTTCGTTGGGCCTTCACGGCACCCCGCTGGGACCTGCAAGGAGCCCAGAACGCTAATGACTGTTGCATGTCTGGCAGCGTCAAAGGAAGTCTCGTTCGGTCTGCGCGTTGCGGTGCCCCGCTGGACCTCACTGCATGTTGACATAGGTTCGACCCTGTAAAGAGCGTAACATTGTTGCACGTGCGTTGGAATTTCACCACATCAAGGCCTGATAATTGCCGCAATAGCAGCTCATCCCCACGAGCCAGATGCGTGCTTCCACATGCATATCCTGTGGGCATCAGCACGTTCCGATGCCTTCGTCCTTTGATCCCCTTCAAAGGTGCGTTCATATGGAGCTTTCGAAGCGAATCCAGCCTTAACGACGAGGGCCTCCCAGGAGGCACAAAAAGGGAGAAACCGTGGTAAAGGTGTCAAGATCCGTCTTGTCCGACCCCCTCTTGATGCATTCTACCTCAGCAAGGTCGTTGCAAACAATGATGAATACACGGGAATGCCAACTCTACGATGGCGCCTGCACTGGCCGCGGACATCTCCAAGAGGATAGGGGCAACGCGACACTGCGAAGGCAAGCCGCCCTGCGCCTGGCGTGTCTGCACTCCTGTGTGCCCCTTGGCGTACGCCGCCGCCGGCGCCTTCGAAGTGCCCTCTTCCGCGCGTGCGCCAGCCAGCATCAAATGCCAGCTTGAAGCCACGATGACAGAAAAATGAGCGCGGCGCGCCCAGAGCTCCCGGAAGGATTTCTACAGCGCTAGATGCGACTCAATGATGTACGCCGATTGCCGAAGGAGGGAGGAGGAGGAAGAGGAGGAGAAGGAGGAAGAGGAGGGGGAAGGAGGAGGAAGAGGAGGAGGAGAGGAGGAGGAGGAGGAGGAGGTCGTTGCAAACAATGATGAATACACGGGAATGCCAACTCTACGATGGCGCCTGCACTGGCCGCGGACATCTCCAAGAGGATAGGGGCAACGCGACACTGCGAAGGCAAGCCGCCCTGCGCCTGGCGTGTCTGCACTCCTGTGTGCCCCTTGGCGTACGCCGCCGCCGGCGCCTTCGAAGTGCCCTCTTCCGCGCGTGCGCCAGCCAGCATCAAATGCCAGCTTGAAGCCACGATGACAGAAAAATGAGCGCGGCGCGCCCAGAGCTCCCGGAAGGATTTCTACAGCGCTAGATGCGACTCAATGATGTACGCCGATTGCCGAAGGAGGGAGGAGGAGGAAGAGGAGGAGAAGGAGGAAGAGGAGGGGGAAGGAGGAGGAAGAGGAGGAGGAGAGGAGGAGGAGGAGGAGGAGGACGAAGAGGTAGGAGGGCGGGGGAGGGAGTAGGAGGAGGAGGAGAAGGAGGAGAGGAGGAGGAGGAGGAGAAGGAGGGGACGGGCGGAGGGTGGGAAGGAGGTGGAGGAGGAGGAGGAGGAGCACTGAGGAGGAGAGGACGAAAAGAAGGGAAGAAGGGCAAGAAAGAAGGTGAGGAGGAGGAGGAAGGGAAGGGGATAAGGAGGAGGAGGAGAGGAGGAGGAGGAGGAAGGGAGCGAGGAGGTAGGAGGAGGGGGGGGAGGAGAAATAAGCCTATCTTCAGGATGAGGAAGAGGGGACGGAGAAAAGGAGTAGGAGTGGTTAGTATGATAGGGAGAGGAGGAGGAGGAGGGGGAGGAGGAGGAGGAGGAGGGAGGAGCAGGGCGGAGGAGAGGCCAGAGGAGGGGAGGGGCGGAGGTGGAGGAGGTGGAGGAGGAGGAGGAGGGAGACTCCGAGGAGGAGGGGAAGAAGGGGAAGAAGGGCAAGAAAGGAGGAGGAGGAGGAGGAGGAGGAGGAAGTGAAGGGAAGGGAGGGGAATGGAAGGAGGTAGGGGAGAGGAGGAGAAGGAGGAGGAGGGGAAGGAGGATAAAGATGAGAAGAGGGTGGCGGAGGAAAAGGAGTAGGGTGGGAGTAGGAGTAGTAGGAGAGGAGGAGGAGGAGGAGGGGGAGGAAGAAGAAGAAAAAATAGAAGAAGAACAAGCGCCGCAAAGACGTGCACTGCACTGCCTCTGCCGTAAGAAATATAAGTGCTTGTCTGCCGACAAGCTGGAGCACCGACTCGCCATATGCGTGCCATGCGTGCCCAGCGACACAACTAAACGCCTGCTTCGATGCCTCCTGCTCCTGCTCACTCTCCTCCTCCTCCTCCTCCTCCTCCTCCTCCTGGATGCTCCTCATCCTCCTTCTCCTCCTACCGCTCTCTCTCTCTCCCTCCCCTCCTCCTCCTCCCCTCCTCCTCCTCTCCTCCCTCCTTCTCTCTCCCCTCCTCCCCCATCCCTCTCCTGTTCCTCCCCCCCCTCCTACGGAATTCGAGAATTCGAGGTTCGAGGGGTTCGTCTGATTTTGAGGGGAGTTTCTGTTGAAACTCACGTCATCCTCACACCCGGCGCGAAGAGCAGAGCCACGAGTCCAGAGCGGTCGAGCGGCCTCCGCACCGTTTCGGACAGATCGGTGGATCCGCTGGGATCGCTGGATCCGCCGACGAATCCCAAACCGGCGCCCTCGCTTGAGACATCCTCACCAAACCGGCCCCGGGGGAGGTGCCCAGAGGAGCCCAGAGCGGCCTCCGGCACCGTTTCCGGACAGATCCGCCGACGAATCCCAAACCGGCGCCCTCGCTTGAGACATCCTCACAAAACCGGCCCCGGGGGAGGTGCTCTGCAGAGGAGCCCAGAGCGGCCTCCGGCACCGGTTCCGGACAGATTCCGGTGGATCCGCTGGATCCGGTGACGAATCCCAAACCGGCGCCCTCGCTTGAGACATCCTCACCCAAAACGGCCCGGGGGAGGTGCCCAAAGGAGCCCAGAGCGGGCATCCGGCACCGTTCCGACAGATCCGCGGGATCCGCTGATCCGCGGGATCCAGTGGACACGATCCCAAACCGGCGCCTCGTTGAGAACATCTCCCCAATCGGGCCGGGGAGGCTGCCCAGAGGAGCCCAGAGCGGCCTCCGGCACCGGTTCCGGACAGATCCGCTGGATCCGCTGGATCCGCTGGATCGGTGGACCCCGACGAATCCCCAAACCGGCGCCCTCGCTTGCGACATCCTCACAAAAAACCGGCCCCGGGGGACGGTGGCCAAGAGAGCCCAGAAGGGCTCCGGCACCGTTTCCGGACGGATCCGGACGGATCCGCTGGATCCGGGGACGAATCCCAAACCGGCGCCCTCGCTTGAGACATCCTCACAAAACCGGCCCCGGGGGAGGTGCCCAGAGGAGCCCAGAGCGGCCTCCGGCACCGTTTCCGGACAGATCCGCTGGATCCGCTGGATACGCTGGATCCGGTGACGAATCCCAAACCGGCGCCCTCGCTTGAGACATCCTCACAAAACCGGCCCCGGGGGAGGTGCCCAGAGGAGCCCAGAGCGGCCCCCGGCACCGTTTCCGGACAGATCCGCTGGATCCGCTGGATCCGCTGGATCCGGTGACGAATCCCAAACCGGCGCCCTCGCTTGAGACATCCTCACAAAACCGGCCCCGGGGGAGGTGCCCAGAGGAGCCCAGAGCGGCATCCGGCACCGTTTCCGGACAGATCCGGACAGATCCGGTGGATCCGCGCCCCGGGGGGAGGTGCCCAGAGGAGGAATGAGGAGGAGGAGGAGGAGGAGGAGGAGGAGGAGGAGGAGGAGGAGGAGGAGGAGGAGGAGGAGGAGGAGGAGAAGATGATGGAGCTGCGGGGTGGAGGAGGACAGACGGAGGCAAGAGAAGGATGGAGGAGGAGGAGGAGGAGGAGGAGGAGGAGGAGGAGGAGGAGGAGGAGGAGGAGGAGGAGGAGGAGGAACCTCATCACCCTCGCCAACAAGCGCACGCACCTTCTTCTATGTACAGAAACTCCCGATCAACCGCAGAGCGGCCGGCTAGTAATATATCGGTGCTTCGAAACCGCCACGCGCTGCAGCGCTCGGCTCCGCCTTGCCCAGCGCGATCACAGGAAGTCGCGAATAAATCTGCGCGAAGCGTTGCCCGCTCCAGCCCAGAGCGAGAGTGCCAAAAGCACCACGCCGGCAGCTGCTGCGGACCAGAACAGAGCCGAAGTCACCGAGGGCGACAGTATGCCGTAGGTACCACTGCTTCGCACTCTGTCGGCCGATGCCAGAAGAGCCCAGGCCATTGCTCCTACTGCTAGAGGCCCTGCAGCCTTCAGCCAAAGGCCAACAGAAATCCCGATGCCGAGGATGCCGAGGCAAGACGCGACCGCTACAAAGCCAAGCAAGATGTGGTCATCTGGTGCCCACTTCATGACCAGGATGTTCGCGCCAACAGTAGCCGCAGCAACAATCCATCCGAAGTGTAAGGAGATCGGGGCCAACAGGAGCCAAAACTCTGAAAGGCTACAATAGTTGGCCGAGTCTCGGCTCTCCCACAAAGCCACGCCCAGGCCGAGTACGATGCCAGCCATGAAAATCATAGACAACTCGATACGCTCGCTGCTGAATGCAAGTGCCCAGCAGCTCTGGCTCAGGCAAGCAAAGAACCACCAAGGGCCGAACCCGATCAAGACATCCGAGGCGCTGAGAGGCGGAAAAAGCTGCGCTACCGTCAAGAGGGCCTGCCATGGGAATATGACACCCCAAATCGAAAAGGCCCATTTCTCCGGCGACAACAGGCTGATATACTTCCCAGCGACGACGCCGAACGGCTGGATCTTCGACTGGGCAAGTCCCGTGGCGACAGCATTCAGCAGAAAGCCAGCGGCATTCAGGACGGATAGCGCCGAGCTCATTCCCCCAATGCGGTCACAATGAAACTATGCAAATGCCTCTGCAAAGGAACGGCTTAAGCCAGAATGACGCCGGTGGGTGGAAAAGCAAGTGGAGACGATGACGACGACAACAGCGATGAGGGAGACGAGAGTTGACGCCTATAATTGTATCGCACATGCGTCCGAGGCCGCTGCCACAGCGCAACTCAAACCGGTGGAACCTGACGCTCATTTGAGGGAGTTTCTGTGGAACTCACGTCTTCCTCACCCCCGGCGCGAAGAGCACGAGTCCAGAGCGGCCTCCGGCACCGTTTCTGGACAGATCCGGTGCATGGATCCGCTGGATCCGCTGGATCCGGTGACGAATCCCAAACCGGCGCCCTCGCTTGAGACATCCTCACAAAACCGGCCCCGGGGGAGGTGCCCACAGGAGCCCAGAGCGGCCTCCGGCACCGTTTCCGGACAGATCCGGTGGATCCGCTGGATCCGCTGGATCCGGTGACGAATCCCAAACGGCGCCCTCGCTTGAGACATCCTCACAAAACCGGCCCCGGGGGAGGTGCCCAGAGGAGCCCAGAGCGGCCTCCGGCACCGTTTCCGGACAGATCCGGTGGATCCGCGCTGGATCCGCTGGATCCGGTGACGAATCCCAAACCGGCGCCCTCGCTTGAGACATCCTCACAAAACCGGCCCCGGGGGAGGTGCCCAGAGGAGGAGCCCAGAGCGGCCTCCGGCACCGTTTCCGGACAGATCCGGTGGATCCGGTGGATCCGGTGACGAATCCCAAACCGGCGCCCTCGCTTGAGACATCCTCACAAAACCGGCCCCGGGGGAGGTGCCCAGAGGAGCCCAGAGCGGCCTCCGGCACCGTTTCCGGACAGATCCGGTGGATCCGCTGGATCCGCTGGATCCGGTGACGAATCCCAAAACCGGCGCCCTCGCTTGAGACATCCTCACAAAACCGGCCCCGGGGGAGGTGCCCAGAGGAGCCCAGAGCGGCCTCCGGCACCGTTTCCGGGCAGATCCGGTGGATCCGGTGACGAATCCCAAACCGGCGCCCTCGCTTGAGACATCCTCACAAAACCGGCCCCGGGGGAGGTGCCCACTGCAATGATCGCCCCCCCTTGCTGAAGTTATGTATGTTATAATGGTTATGCACTACTAATAGCATGTTTATTTGATCTCTAATTTAGCTTTATTTAGCATTATATTTAGTATTTTATTAAGAAGTAATAACATCAAATAGTGTGCTTATTCATGTTAAAATAAAGCAAATAGCGCCGCTATTTTTCACTATTTCGGAAGGGAGGGGGGGGGCTGGAGAGAGAGGGGCGGAGGAGGGAGAGGGGAAGAGGGGGGGGGCGGGAGAAAGAGGACGGGCGGGAGGAGCGGTAGACCAACCGCTATGCGAGGAGCGGTAGACCAACCGCTATGCAAGCAAGTAGGGGTAGACAACCGCTGGCAAGCGGTAGCCCCACCGCTGAGGGAGGAGAAAGGACAATGATGATGTTCTTTTTCCAGCGCAAGGATGTTTTTTGCACCACATCACCAGGCAAGAACGACCACGCCATCTCCATCCCAGGAAAAGCCTGCTGACAAGACCACGTCGCAGTCGGCCAATAACACCAGAGAATAAGAACCTCCTGGCGCGCTCCTCCAGCGAGAAGCGGCTGGCGACACCTGCTCCACAAATACCATCTCGTCGACGACAATGACGGGCGCGGTGTCCAGAAAGGCGCAGCCAGCCACGATGCATACAACGCCGTCGCACCAGACAGCGTCTCCAGCCGCGAGGGTTGTCCCGCGAAATTTCATAGAACCGCTCATGGAGGCAGACGAAACGCCCGCCGCTCTGGCCAACGTCGGCGAGCTCTCTGGCTTGTGCAATCGGTCCAGAAAAAAATCAGCATCGGCCAGGGCTCCAAGGCGATCGGCCAGCACGCGACTCAGAATTGATTTTTCCAACGATCTCGTATTCTTAACAGACTGGGCGCAATTCTTCATGATACAATTCTGGCGTTCGCCCACGAAACAATCGATGCTGTACCCATCTCGGCGTAACTGGTGCGCAAGGTGAAAGCCCCAATGAGCTTTAGGGATAACGTCACCTTTAGGATAAGCGTCATTGAAAGCTTCGGCGTGCTCGGCGAACATCGCGTCGAGGCCACTCGCAGTGGAGCTGACGTCCCTGCCAAATTTACCTTGCTTGAGAAACCCACAAATCAGCGCAAGAGAATTGAAACTACGAATCTCTTTGTCCAGAATACCACAGGGCTTCACCACGCAATGCAAAAAATAATTGAAGAGCGGAATAATCATGATCAGCTCGGACGCCCCAGCTTTAAACTCTTTGTTTTTTTCTGGAAAGCTTTCTGCCGAGCGTCGTTCCATGCCGCCTTGAGTTCCGCAGACGCCCCTGAGAAAGCGCCGCAAAATTTCCAATTCGATTCCATCCACGTGCGTACGCCGCTCCATGAAAGCCAGCTGTGCCGAAACATTGCTACCAAAATCAAAGACATCTCTAAGCATGCCATGCCGTTCAAGATGTGCATGGCGTCGTGGGTGGATGTCCGTATCGGCGGGCAGTGCGGCCTGAGCTCGTGATCGAAAATCACACCCAAAGGGACGCGCTTAATTCCTCTAGCTGTTTGCCCAGCCTGCAGATGTCTCGGTGCCAACGCAAGAACCTCGTCAGCCTTCTGCCAGATGTCGCCGTCTGTGGCGCGCGAAAACAAAGATGGGTATGAGCAGCGGAGACCAACGAACCCCCGTGGCATTCGAACAGCATCGCCGCGTAGCTGCAGTACGTTGAGGCAATTCATGCATGGCAGATTGGCATTGGCCCCAAGCTGCGAAAATACAATCCTGGCGGCGTCGCCGTCGAGGACCAGGTTGCCGAGTTTGAAATACATAGCTGCTGTTCCAGAGGCGGCCGCGTCCAGCTGTACCAACACGCCCTTTGTAGAAATTTCATCTTCGATGAACATTCGTCGCAAAAAAGTTCTGACTACATTCGAGGCGCCCCCTTCGATCTGTTTCGCCACAGTGGATCGGATGCAAATGACTGGCAACCAGGCTTCAACATGCTTGGTGATGTGGGGGCCGAACTCTCTGATAGTCACGAACATGCCGAAACACTTTCTTCGGTTGTCCTGCCTGAGGACATTACCTGGTACGAATTCATCTGCGTAACACACGAGGTGGTATGGCGACTCGGCAGTGCAAGGGCGTTGTCGCCACAACTCGTTCAGGAGGGAGGCGTACCCTGGCGCAGTGCGGGCTGCGAGCTGCAGAACTTTAGGCAACGAGAGCGTGGCGCCGAGTTCCATGCCCCGTGTGTGTGCCGTGCATTCGAAATGCTCCAGCTGGCATGTTTGTTTCCACAAATCGTCGAGGGCCCGCTGCAGGTGGCCGCGATTGCAAGCAAGAGCAGCCTCCCTGTCAGCTTCGTCAGCGGTTCGCAATCTCTGCAGTAGCTCCGAGAGTTGCGTATGGTTCCTCGACAATCCTGTGCCAGCAAAGAGCCTCCTGATTTTTGCAGGCTTCGATTCTGCCATCGGCGGCTCCCTGCGGGCGCGGGCGCGTCGCGTCGCGGGCCCCTTCAGCCACGAATGGCTGCGGGCGCGTCGCGTCGCGGGGGCGCGGCAAGCGAATCGGGAACGCATCGGCAGCGCGGGGGCGAGGGAGGGGATACGGCAGCAGTGGCAAAGGGATGGTATGACAAGATTTCGGAAAATGTATATTGACAATGCATGTGTTGCTTGCAAAGCAAAGAGTACCTTGAAAACCAAAAGTAAGTCGGAAATCAACTGGCAGTTTGAAATCCAAAATGCATTTTAAATCTCAAAGTGCATCTTAAAAATCAAAGTGTACATTGAATAACAAAGTATATATCATGTAATTCAAAGTGTAGCTTGAATCGGTTCGCATCGGCGCCGAAACAATCATAACTTTTTAGTTGAATGCGAGGTCCCTGGTTCGAAAATGGCCTCTTGCAAGAGGCCATTTTCGAATCAGGGACCCCGATGGGAGCTCGCACGGAGTCCGACTGGGACCAAAAGGTTTCTGAAGCGAGCGGTGGGTTTACCGCTGTGAGGTGTCTGAAGCGAGCGGTGGGTTTACCGCTGGAGCTGAAACGAAAGCGGTGGGTCTACCGCTGGGAATTGGAGGGACAGGAGCGGTGGGTCTACCGCTGGGAATGGGGAGAGTGGGGGCAGGGGGTGGGAAAGGGAGCGGTGGTTCTACCGCTGGGGAGTAGCGGTTGGCTTACCGCTCGGCAACAAGAGGGGCGCGAAGTTTGAACCAGACTCGACGCGGCGGGTCGCAGAGCCGCGCGCCCAAGCGCACGAGCCCCGAGCCTGGCCATGGCGCCCTGAAGGCGCCCCTCACTTCGCGGCCTGCTCCACGCTCTTCAGGACGTTGGCGAGCTTGTCGTGGGAGTCCTGCGCGGCCCTCGCGTCGCTGATGACCTCCTCGAGCTTGAACGACAGCGGCTGCGGATCGTGCGTCTTGATGGCCTCTTCGGCCTCCTGGGCGTACTTCTTGAGGGTGGCCAGCGCCTCCTTCGCTGTCTTGGTCACGAATTTCGGAACATCCGTGATCATGCTGTGGTTGAGTACCGTCTCGAGCGAGGACGCGAAGGGAGAGACCTTCGCGAGCGCCTTCGCGGCATCGCTCTGCGTCTGGCGCTTCGCCCTCTTCCCCTCCTTTTCGGCGGCGGCCTGGGCAGCCCTCTGCTTTCGAAGCTTGTCTTTCTCTGCCTTCTCCGTCGCTCTCTTGTCAACCTCCCTGGTCTTCTTCTTCTCCTTCTGGCGCTGCTCCTTCTTCTTTTTTTTGTCCTTCTTCTTCTTGTTCTTCTTGTTATTCTTTTTCTTGCTCTCGCTGGAGCTGGACTCCGAGTCGGAAGTCGAAGAAGAGGGCGTCGGTGCTGGCGCAAGCGCGGCCCTAGGCCCCTCGGCGGCGGCGGTCTCGGTAGCGCTGCCGCTGCCCGCGGCGGCGCTGCTCGCTGCGGCGGTGCCCTTCGCCTTCCGAGTGGCCGCTGAGACCATCTGCTGCCTCGCAAGCTCCTCCGTCGCAGACTCGGAAG